AGAAGTATTGGAGGGAGTTGCAGAGGCCTTATCATAAGTCAAGCAGTCAGGCAGAAAGAAGTAAATAAATAAGAACCTGGTTTCCTCTGTAAACCAGTGAGCAATTAGTGTGTTAAGTCTACAGTTCTTATAATATAAATCTACTTCTAACGTCCCCAGGTCAGAAAAACTCAAGTAAGCTGAATGCTCTCTGACTCTTCTTATTAGTTGATGTGAACTATGAGTCTACAAATGCAGTCAATATTTTTATTAACATAAAATGATCTTTTTATTTTATGTCTGCGAGGGTTTGCTTGCATGTAAGCATGTGCACTATGCTTGTGGCTGGTGCCTGCAGAAGCCAGAATGGGTGATGGATTTCCTGCAGTACAGATGGTGTGAGCTACCAAAGGGTTATGGGAGGCAAACATGGGCCCTCTGCAAGAGCAGTTGGTGCTTTTAACTGTTGAGCACCGGATCCAGCCCCTTATGACCATTACTTGAAGATGATCACAATAAGTGCAATGGTATTTTCATATGTAGGAAAAAATACAGGCAAAGAGAAAAAAATTACAGTAAACCAAAATGCAATGGGAAAAATAGAAGAATTATGGTCTATGACAAACATGTTTACTATGTGTTCCAGGGCCAGTACTGAAAAACTACTGGTTCAAGACAATGTAAAAGTCTCTAACAGTTAAAAAATCATAGGAGGAGAAGACTTATTAATGTGTGTCTGAAAACACATGGGAGCTTTAAACCCAATCACTTTACTAGACATTAATGCCAGGACAAAAAGATTACACTGCAGTCTTATTACAGAACATTGTCTTTTCATCCCATGCAAATCAAAGAAGGAGGATGACACTGGGTGGCTGGGCAGTAGAACTGTAAATCAGACGGTCACATCTCCTTGGGGAGAGACAGAGAGGGCCCATTTGTGTAATCAGAGTATTGTAGATGACCTGTCAGAGTGGGCAAGGTGCAACCAAGCCTCCCTATGATTTACAGGACAACACACACACACACACACACACACACACACGGACAGACGGACAGACAAATGGAGAGGGAGAGAGAGAGGAGACGGAGAGGGANGGGAGGGGGGGAGGGAGGGAGGGAGGAGGGAGGAGGGAGGGAGAGAGAGGAGGGAGGGAGAGAGAGAGAGAGACAGAGAGAGAGAGAGACAGAGAGAGAGAGAGAGACAGAGAGAGGTGTCGTCTCAGGAGCAAAGACAGATCTAAAGACTAAGAATGTTTTACAGGAAACCACTGTCTCCATGTAACAGGAAGTGTTAAATATTAGCTTTCTATATTGATATTTCAGTATCAGGATTCATTCTATTTTACAGATAAGTGACCTCAGATCTCTACAGATGGGGAATACATCTTGGATTTACTTTCTGGAAATATGAGCTTCGTAAAAATACTTCTACAGAAGAAAAAATAGGCTTAAAAAATAATGTTTTGTAGGCTAGGGCTATAACACAGTGGGAGAGAGTCTGCCTAACACTGCAAAAGAGCTGAGATACATCACTATCATCATGAACAAAATAACTGGAGAAAAATTAATGATTTAAGAAAGAGAATATTGTTTTCATTATCTAGGTATGAAAGACAGATATGGCTACAGCAACAACAGACCACAGGGCTTATCAAGTATGAATTTTTAAAAGAATAAACTTGATTTTTCTGGTAATTATAGATTCACATCTAGTTTTAAGAAACAGGAAAATATAATATCCCCCCAGAATAATGTTTCAAAACTCACAATATGTATGCAAAAACATCCCCAAAGACCTTGAAGGCTGCAGGTTATGTCTCAGTGTGATTCATGGGAAATTAGCAACTTACGCTTAGCAGATACAAAGGACTCTGAGCTGACACGTATTGAATTCACATGAATTATATAAATGGATATGATCCAAACATAACCCTCAGGAGGTAGATATTTCTCCAAAATACTAGCAAACCTGCGGACTTAATTTTAACATCAACATAATGAAAAGTATCTAGGGTTGATCATTTAAAAAGAATACAAGTTGATTTCAGTACCAAAGTTTCTATAATACTGTCTGCTGAAACTTTTAAGATCTCAAATGTCAGGTAGTGGCTGTCACTCAAAACACGTGGCCCGACCCTGCCATCGTCTTAGTGAAGTCAAGGGCCACCATCTAGTCTCCCGTGAATCCCACAGTAATATAGGGAGTCTAAGAAGTACGAGGGATTGCATCCTGCTTCTCCGCTGCAGACAGATGTATCGGCGTGCTACTTACTGGCTCTGCTCCAAAACCAGGAGCTCCCAGTCTGGGCAACAGGTAGCACATTACTCTAGGAAGTCGGCAGGATGACAGAGATTGCTAATCAGCTTCGGGAAGGCCAAGGTCATGAATCAACTTACACTGAGTGAACCCTGCACACTGCAGAAACCTTTCCCAGGTGATTCCAAGCTGAATGCTGTCAGTGAAACGTGTTATCTCTCTGCAGAAGGCTGTCAAGCATTGCAAGCCAAGTAGAAAACTGCAGGAGGGCACCCGGTGAGCTGCCTCTGGCTTGCTTCGAGGATGAGGCACTGAAGTGGCACTGACTCCAAGCTCTGGTTATACCGAGCATGTCAAAGCTCTCACCCACTGTGTTCAGATGGCGTCACGGATGGCGTCACGGGTTTCCAAGGGACACTAACGTTTGATATACAAAATTTGACAATTGCCTGGGCCGTAACAGCAAACCCATGATCTATGCTAAAGGTGGAAAGAGGAGATGGAAAGGCATTTGGAAATAACATTGTTGCGGTGTGTGACGTGGCTGGAGTGGCAAAGTTCAGAGTAGAGAGAAGCAACACCCAAATGTTGTCTGGTGAGCTCTTCTACTCTACACATATGCTGGGGCATATAGACACCACCAATATCACATGCACATACACACACACACACACGCACACACACGCACACACACGCACACCCCAGTGCAATGATATCAGTAAGTAACGTTGGTGGGTCACCAGTTTACCTTGAATAGTTACGTTACAAAAGTGGGTAAATCAAGCTCCAAGAAACAGTTGTCTGCTACACTGCCTGTGGTGGTTTGAATGAGAAATGTCCCCCATAGGCTCTAATATCTGAATCCGAGTTGGTGATGCTGTTTGTGGAGGTGACGCAGCCTCACTGGAGGAAGAATGTCACTGAGGGCAGGATCTGAGAAATCATAGCTGCCCCTAACTTCTACTTTGCCCTCTGCTTCAAGCTCGCAGATGAGGATGTGAACACTCAGATTCCTGTGCCATGCCTGTTTGATGCCATGATGGGACTCCTTCTGGAACCAAAAGCCCAAGTAACCTCTTCGTCTGACAAGCTGGCTTGTTTACAGTCTCATGCCAGCCACAGGAAAGTAACTAGTAAAGAGCCGAAGGTCCACAGAGCCTTTTGGGAAAGACCCCATTGCCGAGACTCACTGTAAGAAGTGTGTGGCCAACAGTTGTGTTAACAAGTCAAAGCAGTTTGAGACAGGTGCTGGTCAAGAAAATCCATCCCTAAAGCTGCCTAGGCAACCAACGAGGTTTAAAGGAAACTCAGTCTGAGGTTCACTATCTCACATGGGGCCAAGGCAGATAACTTCATTTTAGCGCAACACAGAGACTCAGGTCATCGGGGTCTTTAGAAATGAACTTAATTCGTGGCTATAGTAAGCAGTGACATACTACACACCCGAGTGTTTCCAGGGACATCAGAGATGAGGGCACAGTATAACAATATCTGGGGCTTCTGTGAACAAACCGGAAACCCATAGCTGCAGGGAATAGTTAACCCGTAGATTTATCATGGTGAAAAGATGGTACTCCACTCAGCAACCCGTGATGACAAGTGGCATTCAGGAAAGAAGAAGGTTCAAGCATCAGGACTGAGCCATAGAGGGCTGGGTTGGCTCAGGCCAATCTGAGATTCTAAACAAAGCACATTGTCAAGGAAGATAGGGCATTTTCCCATAGGTCCACTTGGCACAGTGTTTTCTCATAGGGCTTCTTCTATCTTTGGGGCATGCAGTACGGTAGCCAAGGAAGCTATGTAGCGGCTGAGCTGTGCCCGATGTTTTTACTACAGGAAGCTCGGTCTCATCTCATTTCATGGATTTTCTGAGACAGGACCGTACTGTGTACCCTGGTTGTTCTGGAACTCTTTTCGTTAACCTCAAACTGGTCTCAAACTCACCGATTCATCAGCCTCTGCCTTCCGAGTGTTGAGGTTAAAAATGAAGATCACCAGGCCCAGCTTTTATTTACTTTTTAATTAAAACTTAAATTGAAATGGAGCCCCCAGTAAATAGTGCCTGCCACATCAGGTGTTTAGACTTAGCGAGTTTCTTCTTCAAGTCCATTCTATGAACCTAGCACATTGAATTCACTGGACAACTGTAACCCTCTGAGATGGGTATTATTTTATTAATGTGGGAATCCCCTTTGTGTGCTGTCATTACCATTAATGAATAAAGAAACTGCCGTGGTCTGTTGGTTGGGCAGAACTTAGGTAGGTGGGGAAGACGGAACTGAATGCTGGGAGAAAGAGGGCAGAGTCAGAGATGCGATGGATCTGCCTCTAGAGATAAACCTGCTGGAACTTTGCTGGTAGGCCACAACCTTGTGGTGATACACAGATTAATAGAAATGGGTTAAATTAAGATGTAAAAGTTAGCCAATAATAAGCTAGAGCAAATGGGCCAAGCAGTGATTTAATTAATACAGTTTCTGTGTGATTATTTCAGTTCTGGGTGGCTGGGACGAACAAGCAGTTCCTCCTCCAACATTTGATGGTACAAGTTTTATGTTTGTAAAAACTGGGACACAAATACCATTAGATATTTGCCTGAAGTAACACAATGGGGTATGTCAAAACAAAGATTGCTATAGTAGGTGGCCTATAGCAGAGGACACTATTTAAGAAGCAAGCTGGAATAAAGTCCCACACCAAAGACATCCCAACACAGATTCTGGCTGGTGGTAAACAAAGAAAAAGAAATCAAAGAGTCTACCTGTTTTCCCTGTGTTCTTCATCCAGGTCTTGTTAGAGGACTCATTGTCGAACCCATCAAGCTGAAGTTCCTGGTACTCTTCGCCAACACGGGCTTGGTGGTCTGAAATGTCGATAGGAGACTGATGGCTTCCCCGGCAGCTGGCACTAGAGGTGACCCAGTGCTCAGGACCGTAGGCACCTGTAGAGAAAAGTGACACTTCAGTCATCGTGGCCCAGAAGTCTGCATCTGAACAAATAAGATGTGGCTAAAGGGGCTGTGGAGGGACCTGGTGGCTAAAGTGCTGTGAGCAAGCATGAGGACCTGAGTTCAGTTCCCCAACATCCATGTCAAGCCAGGCATGGTGGTCCATGTTTGCACCTTACATTAGAAGACAGGGGGGTGAGTCCAAGGTTAAACAAAAAAATCCTATGTCAAAACATACGATGGGAAACCCTGGAATATGCAGACCTTCTGCCCTGCATACAAGCCCACAAGCACATGTGTGCACACATAAACGCACATACACACCCTGATGTGGACCTCTCTCTGCTCTATTGTCTCTGTCTGTCTGTCTGTCTGTCTGTCTGTCTGTCTGTCTCTCTCTCTCTCTCTCTCTCTCTCTCTCTCTCTCTCACACACACACACACACACACACTCACACCCACACTCCATTCACAGACCAGCCCAGTACTGAAACTAGATCTCAGAGAACTTGAGATGGTTTTGGTCTTTGATTTACAAAAAAAAAAAAAAAAAAAACACTTGCTTGCTTCATTTTGATCCAATTTAGGAGGTTGTGCAGAAGGGTCTGGAGAGCTGTTCACATTTTTGAAATAGTTTAAGTAAACGTCCTAAAAATAAGCAGAGTACTCATTCACAAAAAGGGGCTTAATTAAGCATGTTTTGATGCAGAGAACCATAACCCAAGTATGGCTTTCCTCTTTAGGTCACAATAGTCAGTAAACAGAATAAAGAAACTCAAGACTAAATCAACTCAAAACAGGATGGACATCATTATGAGTAATGGAGGAGACCTTCATTGAGTCTGGAAGGGTTCTCAGCTTGTCCACAGGCTTTGCCTGCATCTCCTTCCCAAGCTTCTGTCTAAAAAGCCACGGAAGGGACTGTTGTTGAGACTCGGCACTCAGAAATAATAGACCTCTAGGAAAAATGCATGCCATTAATTAAGAGAGAACCAAAATACAGTAGACCTCAGATGGGTCCCAATAAGACAGAAGGTCAAGAAACACATTGCATTTGCTGCTCAGCCTTATTTGAAATGAAGCAGTAGGCTAATGATGGCTATTAAGTGGAGAACATGTTCTTAGCGCTTTCTGCTTCTGTACCTCGCATTTAATCTTGTTGATACAGCAAAGAGAGAAAGATGTGTCTGCTGAGAAGATGAAGAGGAACCCTTTTAGCCTCAGGCCAATAAAAAGTCTAACAAGTTCAAAAGAGGAACCACAGGCATCTAAGTATAGCAAAGACACACATATATATACACACACACATACACGTGGATGCATGTTCCCATGCTCACACACACCCGCAGACACAGAATATTTACATACACACATATATATATTCACCCATGTATAAATACATACCTGCACAATACACACATACACACACTCACTCATGTGTAGTTGGCTTGGACTGCAAGCCTCCAAATCACGGCACTGAAACTTATTAGTTATGAATACTTGGTCTTAGCTTGGCTTTTTTCTAGCTAGCTTTTTAATGAAACAATCTATTTCTATTCATCCATGTGCTGCCCTAAGGCTAGTTGACCTCATCTGCATACTGTCCATCATGCTCTTCTGCTTTCTCCGTAGCTGGCTGGCCACTGACTGGCTCCCCTTTTCTTTTAGCCCTCCAGCACCAGCGATCCCTCCTCTTCCTAGCTATTGGCCATTCAGCTTTTTATTAAACCAATCAGGTGCCTTAGGCAGGCAAGATGAAACAGCAATCCACCTTTACATAGTTAAACAAATGCAGCACAAACAAATGCAATGCATCTTTACATAGTTAAACAAATACTCTATTTGACCACACTCGTGGACATGTTCACATACACAAACACACAATACATACACACACAGTCATGCACACATGCACACAAGACACCCACACACATACATACATGCATGCATGCACATAAGGGCACACATACACACACCCCTTTGCAGCTTAGTTTTCAACTCTTTAAGTATCACATAGAAAAAGTAGGATTGGGAAGTGAATTAGGCATTTTTGTGCCTCCTCACACAACTACCTGGTGTGAAAGGAGCAGCAGAAAGAGAGTAAGTTCTTTCTCCTACTGAAAAAGAGCCCCAATAGGTGTCCTCATCCCCTTATGCCTAAGGCAGCTCAAAGCAGATACAGACAATGGGGAGGGGAGACATCTTCTGTGGGGGGGGGGGGAAGAAAAAAATTGGATGTTTCATAGCTGCCAGAGCAATTGGAATAGGTGCTTAAAATGATTTATATTCTCGCCCTCTGGAAAATACTTCAGCTTGGCCATATGCTGGGTCATTTTCCCAAATGCCCATCCCCCAACAGTAAGAGACAGAGAGAAAAACAGAATGGACTATCAGAAAGAACTCGTTCACACATAGGAAAAGGTGTAATAAGCCTGGGGCGCTTTCGAGTCATTTGCAAGTGTTTAATACTTTCTAGAAAAAGTCAACATTGCCGGTTTCCTTAGGGTGAGAGAGCAGTGAAGCGGGCAATGTCAAGGGCTTTGCACACAGAACACTGCCCCTCTTGTGTAGGTTCCCTGAGGCGAACATGAGTCACAAAGAAGAGCAGTGTACTTCTGCAAACCTTTCAGCCCAACTCTATTTTCGTTCTCTATGCATCTGAGGTGTTCAGAGTGAAGGGATGCAACAAATGACTCCAATTAGTCTCCTGCCACTGCCACAATTTTCTTCCAGCGGCCACAAAAAAATTGCATCGACAAACTGAGTGAGCCAATGGCTGATACACGGGCTAGAAACCCAAATGTGACTTATGGTTAGCTAGGAAGGGTCACCATGTCCAAAACATGGGACGCTGTCTATGGGCATCTACAAATAAAATGCCTTAGAGAGACCTCCTAGTGCAATAGAGTGAAAACCAACGCCAAAGGAACCTAAGGCTAAACATATACAACACCAAGGAAATAATGGAGGCAAGCCATCGTTGTGAAAATGGATACTTAACAATTATCCTACTAGATCGCCACTACTACACTAATAACAATCATTATTATGGTAATAAAAAATACCAAGGTCACCAGAGTGTTTACCATCCACATTAGATGGGTGAAATATAATTTAGGAGATTATAAAAAAAAATAATTAGCGCTCACACTGGTGGGATTCGCGCATGACAATCCAAGGGTTCGAGCTGACTGCGTGCTTGCCTCCACACTTCCAGCCAATATACATTCAAGTGCAATTTTAATTGAAACTGATCTTCCACTTCAGGTTTCAAATTAATTCTTCTTTGGAGTGCTTCATGCTCCAGACACCCTTGCTTTGCAACCCCCCCTATGTCATTAGCGGAGGAAATAGAACACTTTCTCCAAGCTCACAGGTATCGATTACCTATTTTCCCTTCGAAGCACGATTGCCCAACCACCCTGTAGATGTCTCTCTGCCGTGGAGACGCTCTATAAAAGTTCGTACTGTTAATCACTCACAGTCTCACCATGTTGGGGGTTTCTGGCTTTTAGAATTTTGAATAAGTGCTTCAAAGTCAAAAACAAAACCATCGAAAACGCAAGACGACTTTTAAAGTTATCTGACCCTTTAGGTCTCTGAGAAAAAACAGAACAAAAACACCCGCCAGCAAGATGGCTTCCTCTCAAGGCATGACGTTACCCAATGAAAATATGGGAAATTCATTTGCAGGCTGGTTCTCCCTTACAGACTTAGAATGGGCAGGGTATTTGCATTTCGGGAGCTCAATTCATTCCACACAGCTAACCCCTCTGACAGTGCAACTTTCTGACAGTCTCATATTCTCCAATGGGGAAAGCTGGGCCAAAGTAAGAGGCCACAGGCTGACTCTCCCTGGCCCAAAGTAACGTGCCTGATAAAACTCTTCAACCAATTAGACCAGAATGGAGACACCCTGCCAACCTTTAAATACCAAGAGAATCGAGCAACGTTCCTCATTCAGCCTAGGATGAAAATATTTCTCTTTAATGAATGCAATGAGTCCATGGGAAGTCGCTGGCTAAAAACGTGGTTTTCATAAAAATGGCCCTCTCCTCCGGGCAATCTTGTTTCCGTTTATGCCTCTCCATCACTATTGCTCAGTTACTGCTTGCTCCTACATATCTGTCTTCCCTACTCGTGAACATATCTATAAGACAAGGTTTTTTCTATGGTACAACTTCAAATCTCCTAGGCAGGATACCTGCATCACTGCCCCACCTCCAAACAATGGGCCCTTCCAGATAGTAAAGACGGACGGGAGACGGGCCATGGGCAGGATATATGAACACAACCATGTCCCATACTAACCATGGCTACTGTTCTTCCGGATGCTTCATATCCCAAACTATCCCTGGGGCTTCGCAAATCCCTGTATCAACTAGAAGAACAAGAACAAAGTGTGGCTTAAAAGCAGGCGATGTCAGCCGCACTATCTCCTCACTTCCTGTCCTTTCTCCAAGTCCCTTGAGAGGACAGGGATCTGCACTTTGCAGGTGGGACTGGAACTAGTTCAGACTCCTGCTGTGTAGCCCAGTTTATTAAAGGGTCTATGTTGACATGACACAAGGTAGAGGAATTTGAGGAAAGAGATTCCCAGTTGAGAAATCGCCTTCATCAGATCTGCTTGTAGGCAAATCTGTAGAGCATTTTCTTGATTAATGATAGATGTGTAAGGGCCCAGTCCCTGTGGGTGGTGCTGTCCCTAGGCATAAAAGAAAGAAGAGCAAGCTGGTAATCAGCAGCCCTCATAGCCTCCCGATTCCGACCTTCACTTCTGGCCCTATCTTCCTGGATGACCGACTATACAAGCTATAAGCAGAAAAAATAAATAAATAAATAAATAAATAAAACCCTTTCCTCACATGTTTCTGCTGGTCATGATGTTCTATCACAGCAACAGAAAACTAACCAAAACAATACCCTACGCCTAAAAGGATAGTCCTTCTTGGTGTCTCTAACCTCCTGTCTTTACCTCCCCTCATCCACACCTGG